AGGATGAATACACATTCTTTGACATCACATTGTTCCATTCTATGGACTAGGTAAGTCATGAATATTATTAAGACTTTACCAAAGGCAACACTACTTACATGCAATCTACTGTACTGCCCTCTCAGAAGCTCACTTCATTTCCCAAATAGTCAATAAAAAATAGCTTTTATAATATTGTTTTAAAAATTAATTCAGACAAGAACTATAACTTTAGTAAATCCTTTAAATTGTTATCTGCTGTCAGATGCAAGAAGATTGGAAAAAAGAGGCACAGGAAGAAAAATCCTGCTCTTAAAAAAATGCTAAATAAAAATCATTTATGCTTTTGCATGTTCACTTTAATTTTAACAGATTGCTTTGTGTTCACAGCTTGGTTTCCCCTTTCCATCCACAACTAACAGGGCTGGCCCAAATCCATAACGAACTGTGCTCTGTCATGCAAGACCCACTCTACACTCGGTGTAAGACACGGAATACACACACACACCCTCTCCACACTGGAGAAAAGATCTCCTCTGCCCCAGCAGGAGCTGCACTGCCCTGCACACACGGGCTCTTTGGGGTAGACTCCAGCCCGCTTTTGCCTATGTAGTGTGACAAGAGCCTTCAGGAGTTATGATAATAATCTACAACAGACTCCTCTGATCTCTACCTTGCTTCTTCCCCTAGGGAACGCACAGAAAGGAGCCTTATACATAACCCGCTTCCCTCTTAATTTGAAAACATGAACTGAAGAACAGCATGGTTCTGGGGGGTCACAAAGCTTCTCCTCACTTCACAGCTTACACTAGACGTTCTACAGTGTCAGAACACATTCTGGATTGCTTTCATCCAGAAATAAAACAAGAATTTACTGCAATATTCACAAATAACTAGCAAAATTTCAAGCACTGTGGGAAAAATGCATCTGGTGATCCCATTATCCCATTACCCCCGGATTTACTTTGTTCTTCTCATCACTGCGATCAGCAGCTCACAAAAATGCACAGTGCCAAGTCTGCATTACATAGCGAAACACCATCATCTCTTGCCATGGCCAGGTGAATACCCAAGCTGCTACAAAGCTAATTTGCTTTTCTGTGGCCTGAAAAGGCTGTGCAGTACTAGGGTCTTAGCAGCAAGGTGTTTGCTTCATACAGAATTGGAGCCTCAGAGAAAGACTGGACCCAAAGGCAAGTGTAAGCCAGGCTGGGAATGGGTGGGATTCTTCCCATGCACTGCTTTGCTGTGTTAACCACCACCTCCATCCCCACCCTTGTGAGACAGAAAGGCTCTTCCATTTACAGCAGACTTCCCTATATCGCAATGATGGGTGCTGAGGAACACAAGGACCCCGATAACCCCTTACCTAAGCATTCAAGCTCTGCAGAGGAAGATTCCTCTTCTTTTCAAACATCCTAAATCCCTCCGAATACCAAACAGACAACAAAAAAACCTGTCGATGTCATCTGATTGCATCACTCCTCCTCTCTCTCCAGGACTCAAAAGGCATGTCAGCTATTAGCTTTGCAAAACAAAACAGATGTTTCCTAACAGCCAAATCGCGGCCGCCTGCGAGGTGCCGATCGGCTGCAGCACCAAGGAGCGGCAGGACCGGGGCTGTGTCTGCGCATCTGTGCTGCGGAGGGGAGAGGGATGCGAGACGTGCTCCCAATACCCAAACGCCTCTGCCAGCCCCGCGCTGCCTTTCTCCATCCGAACCCGCTCGACACACCCAAAGGCAGCGACAAAAAAGAAACCCAAGCCAAAACCCGGGGGGATGCGGCAGGCAAAGCGCCTATTTCCCGGATGACTGCAGCCAAGCCGCCGCTGTGCCCAGGTAGCTGCCGCATCCCCGCGACCACCCGAGGGAACCCACCTACCTGCTTCTCCTCTGCGGGGCGGCGCGGCCAGGGCGGGATGCCCGCGGGGGGGACCGGCAGCGGGGAGAGAAAAGGAGAGACAGTGAGGCAGGAGGGACACGCCGGGCCGCGGGGCGGAGCGGCCGCGCGTCCCCGCCGCCTCACCTGGGTTGACCAGCTTGCTCTTGTACCGCATGCTCGTACTCATGGTGCCTCCCCGGAGCGACAGCCGTGCCCGTGTGTGCGAGGGTGGGTGGGGGACTGAGGGAGTGCGAGCGGCGGGGCCGCCCCGCGCCGCCGCCGAGGGGCCGGGGCCGCCCGGGGCCGCCAATCCCGGGAGCTGAGCCCGCCCCGGGCCCGCCCCCGCCGGTGACAGCCGGGCCGGGGGCTGCCGGAGCCGGCCGGGGCAGCGGGACCCGCCGGCCGCAGCACCGGAGCGATATCCCCCCCTCCAGCCCCGCCCCGTGCCGTGCCGGCGGCTGGCGAACACAGCCCCGGGCCGGGCTGATGTGAGGGAACAATCCCCCCGCAGGCACCCGGACCCGGGCAGGCTGCACCTCCCCGAAGGTTTAAACACTATAAAAGGCAGCGCTCCCTGCTCTCGAACAGAAACACAGCACCGAGAAGGAGGAATACAGTCTTGAAAAAAAAAATACAAAACCCAAACACAAATGGAATAAATAGGAAACGTGCTTCCAGATTTAGCGTCTCAAAATACAGTGGGAAGTCTTGAATCATACTGCAACCATGCTGTGTGAAGTAGGAATGCGCACTCTGTTTCCATTAGAAAATTTTAAAGAGATTCCATGGGAAGTTATTTTAGGTAAAAGCTGTCAGCATAACTCTTTAAGATGAGGCAAGAGAGAACTTAAATGAAAAGCAGCAGTTGCACATGAAATGAGAACAACTCATAGAAAACTCAACAATAGAGAAGGAAGAAGAATGGGATGTGGAGACTAAGGACACCCAGATCCTTCCCTTGACTTCCATGGCTGCAGGGAAGGGTCATGTCTTCCCCATTTCAAGGACAGGCAAATTATCAGACCTGAAACTCTTCTGAATACAGGACGGGATAAGCTTGGCAGGGTGATGGCTGCATAACTGAAGGGCACTGCCCTGCCTGGGAACAAATCTGATGCCACAATACCAACTTTTCAAATTCTTGTAGTCATCACAGCATTTATCTTGGCATTTCTTCCACCTTTTCATTCAAAACATCCTTCATAACAAAACAAGGAGGAACTTCCAAGGCCTGGCAATCCAAGGCACAAACATTTTAAAACCGCATTAGCTCACCCTGAGCTCACTTTCAGCCATTGATTCAAAGCATCAGAAAAAAATGAATCAGGTAATTGTCAGCAAATTTCCTTGTTTTCAAATGCTAGAAAGCCACAGACCATTAGAGACTCTGCACTACAATTAAAGGCACCAACAAGTCAATCAGCCTTTCATGAGTTGTTTTATAGTCTGCCACAGTGTTTTAAAACTAATGAAGACTGAAAGGACTGCAGTCAAATGCTCTTTGATCCTGTTGAACGGTCATTAAAAAAGTTACATGTGGGCACTTTGTCCCAATACTGGAAAATGTCAGTCTGGAGAAGGCCAGGATGAAATTCAGAGAAAGGGACTTGTCTTCCAAGGGCCTGGCACTGCCAACACCTATGGGAGTTGAAATGCAAAGTCAGAAAGCAGGCTCTAGCCAGCGTCCTCTATCCAGAGAGCTCCACAGTACAAAGACTTGGCTTAACAACTATATATTACCCCAGTAAGCTGTTAAGTATTTTAACAAAGCCAAGTTCAAATGTAACTGAAAACTAACATCAGTCAACATCAAAGAAGTGGTAGAAAGACCAAAAAAAAAAGCCTATATTGAAAGGAAAGTACTCACATATGGAATCGGCAGCTCTACAAGCCCTTCCTAGACAATTATTAAAATAGATCTCAAATTTTGAGCCAAAATGTTCCATCTGGAATTCACAAACCCAAAGTACAGACTATCAATGGGTATCATGGGTATCCCCATGTAAAAATCTTTTCACTGAGGCTTCCCACAAAAGAACTGTGACAGTGACTTTAGGTGCCTTGCTTTAAAGAGAGACAAAAAACTCCTCTGCACTTAATAAAATTAAAGACTAGATGCTTTTGATAGTCTGCTTCCCCATTGTCCTAGATGGCTTTGAAAGGCAAAGCTTTCATGCCACCTTTGCTCAGAGAGCTAATCTAGCTTGTAACTAAGGTCTCCAACTGAAGTCAGGGTTTCTCAGAAGGGGTGTGGCTGTCCTGACTTTCACAAGCACAAAGAGACAGCACAAAATTAAGGGGGTTGCAAAATATGACACAAAATTCTGGAAGAAAAACAACAAGAAAGGTGTAAATAACAGCAAACAAATTATGAGAAAAAGTTTGCCATTAGATCTCTCACCTTGGCCCTCGGGACAGACATGGTTAAACTCAAATCTTCATTAAAATGGTAGAAAATTTGTGTGAATGTAAATCTATCACTCCATTTCTTCTTTCAACTTCATTATAGCAACCACTGAAGTAACAATGTAACGTCCATTTTATGCAGTTCAACTCCAAGCAAGCCAAATATGCATCCCAGTGATGCCAATCATTTGTGAATCCTATCCTGATTAAACACTCATTGCTAGACAACAAAATTAGGGGTAATCATTACATGAAAGACATCCCAATTTAGTACAGAAGACAAAGTGTCTCAATCCCATATTTGGAAAGTAATTTACACTTGTGCATATATAAAACACACAAGACTACAAAAGCATGCAGAAGAGCTATAACTCAGCAATGACATAAAGGAAATAACATCCATGAACTTATAAAGTAAGGTGTGTGATCAGATTTTCCAAGATATTCAACCACCTAAAGACATCAGTAGGTACTTAATGAACTTTGGGAAAAAAGCAGATGTGAAGCTTTGCTACGTAACTTATAAGCAAAACACTTTTAAAGTTGTTTTGAAATGAAATCAAAGCAGTTTGCAGGTAGACAAATTTCAGAAAACACCTTCATACCCCAGGGTAAACATCACAATTCCTTTGAATATGCACTGTGCACAACACCACTACAGCATTTCATATGTTAGCTTGAAAAGGCTAATTAAATAAAATAAAACAAGAAAAACCACCCCAAAATGAAAACCAACGTTTTCCACATTCATACAATTTATTACAAAACTTCAATGAAAAGTAGTGCTATGGTATATTTTAAAAAATCAGTACATGCCATTGCTCAGCTGACAGATAGAAATGCCTGTGACAAATTTTTGCCATCAATACTTGAGGCTTGAATCCAAACCTCCAGAGGCATCCACACAAGTTGGTGGTGTGTGGAGTGTTTATGGTGTGTTAAGGCACGGCGATTTAGGAAAGTCAGCTTTTTCCAATCACTGGTGAATCATCGGCGTTCCATACATTTTCTCATACATCACACAAATGCAAATCACCAGAGATGAGGCTTCAAAAGCAACAAAAGCACAGAGAAAGTTCTGAAAAAATTATACGATACATAATAACCTAAAATGGCAGGTGAAAGTTATAATACTGTGCAAACACACATACGTTTACTGTAAACAGGCCACAAAGTCTTAGTATTAACCACGAAACCGTTCAGAACAACCTAGCAGATAAATGATTAATTCCTTAAACCCACCACAATGACTAGTCCAAACAGCGTACTCTTGGCAGTTTCTGAATAAAAAGGTATAGGAAGGATAATAAAACCACATTGGTAAGTATGAAGACAGTGTTACCAAAAAAATCAAAAAGATACACGATAAGTTGAATAACATTGAGTATATAAAACAAGCAGTTTTACAACACGATCTTCAGACTTTGTGTTTGTTTTAACGCAGGTCTTGGTCTGTGGCATCCAGCTTTTGCATTTGAACGTTACCACTCGGGCAAAGAAAAGAGAGCACCCATCCACTTAGAGAACCGTATGCTGCTGGGAACAAAAGTGGAAAACAGAGCATTAGAAAGGACAAACTCTCAGCACTGCCAGAGCCCTTCTGAGCAAAGCAGCATAATCCAGGGAATAGGGAGTTTCAGTTCCTGCAGCACAGGGACCTGCCTTACAACTAGATCAGCTGAGCAGTTTGGTCCCAAATATTTATCACAAATGTCCAATAAGAGCTTATAAATGAGAACTTATTTTTAGCTACATAGTTTCTTGGGCACCCATACCCCCCTCAGCCTACAAGAACACAAGGAGAGCTTTACAGCTCCTCTCAACAGTCCTGCACACAGCACATCGACCTTGGCCTGTTTTGTGAAGCATTATTGCTGCTGAGGGAAACAAACCACTCAGCTAAACAGGGCTAGCAGGAGGCAGCAAGCTCAACATCATGCACCAACACTGCTAAGGAAAAACAGGAAAGCAGACATTTTTTCAAGCATTCATACAGCAGTGTTCCCGTGGCTGAAAAAAAAGGGATATTGGTCTGTAATTTCGAAAATAACTATCAGTTTTGGATATTTCTACAGTTACTTGCCAATCAAAAAGGTTGCTACAAAGAAAGCAGAATCCCAGCTTTCCCTGAAAGTTGGATCCTGCTTAAGAAATTGTGTCAGATGTGGAACTCAGGGGAAACACCTCAATTTCTCCAGTCCCAAAAATACCCATTCCTGATAGAAAAAGCTAGCTTAATCTAAATGCTCATCTGGATGGAAAAATTAGAAATATCCTTGAAAACACTATTTTGCCATCTTACTTGTGAAATACACTGTAACACTCATCCAGACTACAGTGGGGATAAGGAGCAACGTGCTTTGCTCTTTGCCATTCTCACTGTGGGTGTTCTGTTCAATACACAATTCCTTGTCATTTTAAAGAGCCCATCACTTCTAATAATAACTAAAATAAGCAAGCCAGTAATAAAGCTTTAAAGCCAGAATCCATTGCTAAGCAAATTCAATATTCAAATTCAAAATCAACCTGTTGTGCTACACTGTTACTTCGAGTTTGAAAGAGAAACTCTGTTTCTGACACTGCCTGCCCAACTCTAATCTGTTACAGAAGATATCTCAAGAAAAAACTGTAACTCATGTTTCAGACTCACAAAAAGACTGGAATTTCCAATAACTTCTAAGCCCAGCTGTGCCTTGATGTTAGCAGCATTAGCAACACCATACCCACATTTTATAAGCTCATAGAACACACTTGGGCAAAGGATGTTTGTGTACTTTCAACACGGATTCATTTCACTGCTCTTTCTTCCTCATCTCCTTGTAAGGCAGTATTTTATGATACAATTAGGTTGATACTATTCTTGACAAGTTTGACCTTCAGTTTTACTAGATCAACCTTACAGTCCCCCGTGCTCATTTCACCAACACACAGAGCTAACAAATGCCTCCGTCTGCAGTGTGAATTCATACCACCACTGAACACAGAGGATATTTCTCCAGTGTGCCACTAAAACAAAACCCTCTCAGTAAGTAGCATAACTAGCAAGTACTACACACACCTGCACCCTGATCATGTGGTCACATAGCTCAGAATCCTGAATTTGTGAAGATTTTGAACACCCTGTAAAGGAAATGGGTTTGTCTCCCCCTCAGCTCTTCCAAGAACACCACTACAATGCAGGGCGACTTGACACCTCCGTTTTCATTTCTGAATTCCAAATGAGAGAAATTTGTTTGATAAGCAGCTACATTTTCTCACTCATCTCAATTGTTTTTCTTCAAACAGCACCCGTTTTATGTTATAACTACAGCCCTTTGAGTGTCCCATTGTCAGCAAGAACTCTGAGAAATGGCATTTTTCCAACAGGCAGAGGAGTACAGGATGACACCAGTGCTCTGCTGCAGGTTTTGACTCATTTTGTCACTGCACCCCATTTTGGTTTTCTGCTGTTTCAGTCACCCTCTGTTGACTTCACTGCTTCACATTTGTTCCATTTCCTTTGCTACTCTGTAGCGAGACCTCATACTTCCCCACAGCAAACATCATCAGCTCAGTTCACAGTAAGTTACAAAATCGGCCTTTGAACTGATTACCAGTGCTCATCAGTTAAATGTGTTAATAGGGGTCACAACCACAGAGTCACATCTACACACCAGCATCCAAGCTTCAAAACTATTAGAAATGTTCCTCTGTTTCTTTAGGAAAAAGTGGCCCTGACACATTTTCAGGTTCTCCATGTTACCATACAATTTCCAACAGCAGTCTGTTCCCTAAGGGTGAAAAAACTTGTGCCAGCACACCAATGCAGGGTTTGCTGAACAAATTCACAGTCAGAAGAGCTGAGGAGAACTGGACACTGCCAACACACTCCTGGTCTAGTTTCTAGCTAGAGAAACATCCACTGGCAATGCCAGGCAGTTGTTCCAAATACTACAAATTTGCCCAAGCTTCAAATTCTCTAGGCTTTCAATTTCAGCTGCCAATAAACTACAACATCATCTCTACTTCCTCAAATGACATTTCTCATCAGATCAATCCAGCATTCAGCAGCATCATTTTAGAAGGCTGGTTGCTATGACAGTGCTTTGTGTTGTTCTGTTAAATGATGTCAATTCATTGGTAGAAAGAAGGATCTCTTTGGTGTGTTTAGCACTGTTCTTATCAAGAACCAGAACAGTGTTAATGTGCTCAGGAGGCTTTAAAATACTTGTGGAAATTACAAGCTATGCTAAAAGAATTTTCAACATCCTACAGATATTTTAAGTGCAAGATGCTTGGGTTTCTTTTTTGTCTAAACATATTTCCCTAAATATAACTACATTTCCAGATGGCTGTATTAGTGTTCCACAGCCTGGCTTCTGTTACTGATTTGTCCCAGTATGATCCTGAAACTGAGTGAAGACAGACAAACCAGATTTGTAAGAATAACAAGAGGAAAACAGATTGCAAAGAGATACACTTTGAGAAACAGAGAAGGAAAGGGAAGAAACATCCATCAATAACCATTTCACTAGGTACAATTATTCCAGCTTTTCATAATAATTGCTCATCTGAGATGGACAAGTTCAGAAACTAGTAGATAGGCTATTGGAGTTACTGCAGGCTTGTTCCAAAAGCATTTCATATTTGAGCACCCAAATAAAACGAAACCTGTTTCAGGTTTTGCTACCTTATCCTACCCTTCCATCTTTCTCTTCAATCCTTCATGTGAACTGTCAAATATAAGAACCAATAAGCTCCTACCCTTTATAGCAGTGTTTTGTGTTTTACAAGAAAAAAAAATCCGAGGAACATTAGTAAGGTGAGTATATCAAAAGTCAGAGTAAAAAATTTGTTACTTCTTATTCTAAGAATAAGAAATGTCTTATTCTGGTGTCTAGCTATGCTCTCATTGCCTGTTCCACCTGCACTAGTTGCACACAGAAGCTATTAAACGTTTAGAGGAAAGAGACAAAAGTGTAGGTCAACACACCTTTGTCAGGGCTGCACTCAAAAGATCTTAATCACCACAATCTGTTCTCACAGGCTTTTGTCAGAAACTGCAGTTGGAAACAGGAAGGACCAGTGTGCCAAAACCATCTTCCTTTCTTACCTCTAACCCAGTCTCCCCCAGCATTCATCTTCATTCCCTTCTGGATTCTACTTCTCCACAGAAAGAAATCTGTTTGCTCTCTTTGGAAACTTTGAATGTATTCCCTGCATCTAATCTTTGCTTTTCTCACTCTCCTTATTCTTCTCTTACTCCAACCTTGAAAGTAAAGGAAACTGCTTGAAGTAAATTCTCCCTTTGCTCTTTCCACAGAACCTTTAAAGATGGCCCTATTCAAGCAAACCAGATCTTCCAGTCATCCCATCTGTGTAGCACTTTCTGGTAACACAGACTTGTCAGTTTTTTTGGCAAGGATTTGAGTTTAGCACTTTTTAATCATTATGCAATGCTCCTCCTAGAAAAATCCAAAGCACTCAGCAATCTCCTCTCCACCCTAAAATACAACTGAAATCAGAAGTAGGTATTTCAAATATTTGGATATTACCACATTTCATTACCCTACTGCTTATTCTCTTGCTCTTACCTATGAAGGTCTTCGACCATACCACACCCTACTTTTCCCAAAATACCTGAAAATATTTGTATATCTGTGCTTTATGTAGGGGAAAATATTTTAAGGGACTTTTGAAGGAAACACAAAAATTAGGTATGTATCCAGAATAAAAAAAGTGAAAATAACCATTGTTACGTAAACTCTCTAAACTCTTTATAAAGTCACATATTTTTCTCACCACAAAGTAAGGGTGCAAAAGAGCAATGGGAGGAGACTGTGCTTTCAGTTGCACAGGTGATCCTTTAAAGTTCTTGTAAAACTAGAACCTGAGAGATGTTCAAGATAAACTGTGATCAAACAAAAAGATTAATACCAACTGCATTTAAATTTGTTAGCACTTTGGTTCTGTTAACCACTGTGTTAATTACAAGTTTCCTGGTTTCTCTAGAAATAGTGATTTCAATAAAATATGGCAAAAAAATCTGATGGGAATGGTGGAGGTTGAGCTCATCACACGCTCAGTATTTCAGCCCAATTAACTTGACCTCAAGATTTAGTTCAAATCACAAGATCATGGGAACACTCAGTTAAATCTGCAAAGTCTCCTGCCTAACACACAGAGTGGTCCAAGCTGCACTCCATATTAGCAGTGTGAGGTATCCACAGAACATTTCCCTTGCACAGACATGAGCATGCTCAGAACTCTGTTTACTGATGTAGCCATGGCTGCAAATTCAGCCTGGGACAAACCATGCTCCAGGTCCTTTTTATAAAGACTATATCCAGTACTGCCAGAAGCTGTGAAACACAGGGGATCTGGGGCCATTTCTGGCTAATCATTAGTGGGAATACTACATCCCATCAGTCCTCAGATACTGATTTCACAGCAAAGCCAGTATCTAGGAACTGAGGAAAGAATTCTGAATATACTTGTACCTCTTGCCATTCTCTGCTCTGCCAACAGCAACTGTGGACAAGGGCAGATTTATGGTGGTTTTTTCTTATTGAGTATCAGTTTGAAGGTGTCATGTGATTAAACTTGATTTCTAACTCCTACAAAGAACTGAGCTTCTTAGCAAAAAACAGTAACAATTGTTTACACTAAAAAAGGCTTTCCTACACCAAATAACCATTTCCACAAGTGGTAAGAATTTGGCCACATGACAACAAAGTCACAGTGAAAACTTGGAACCTTCAATTCAGACTATAGTATTTAACAGTGTTGAACAGGCTGCAAAATGACCAGCTCCTGGCTGGGGAATGAGAGCTTTCTGTCAGACACTGCTATCACATACACTGTGTGGTCAGCCACAAAATTATCCTCAGTGTTTGGATTTCCAACTCTGGGAGAACATCTCAGTATGGAAGTTGGAAGACATGATGTGAAGGCTCCTCTATCTGCAACAGTTGAAACTGTGACAGTAAAAAACCTGAGACGGAATTAATTATTTCCCCTAAAGTACTTCATTCAAAGATAACAGTGCACATACCAGTAAAACCATCAACTTCTGCTTAAGTGAGAATCCAGTGAATAAGTTTATTTCTTAATTATTTTTTTCTTTATTTTATGTAAACAGGAAGACTGAAAGTTCAAATAAAGGCAACAAAAAACCTCATTATTTTAGGCTTGGAATGTTGGCAGCTGACACAAGGTCATAAGGGATAATATAATCCATTTTATTCAAGCTTTACATTCCACAAGACCAGCAATCACAACTAGAGTATTAAACTGAAGTATTAAGCAACAAGACTCCTCATATCCTTCTATTTCTTGTTCTTGCATTTAAAAGAAAAATTCTACCAGAAGAAAGAATGAGTATGTGCTAAAGGGATTTTCTTCTTCACTCACTCTGATCTCCCCTAACACATCACACATATCATTAAGGAAGTCTGTATTCAGTATACCTGACCAAAATTCTGTCTGGCTCTTTGAGAAAACTGTTAAAAACTCAGCAGCCTATACACCCCAAAACACTAACTTTTGTTTACATATCAAATTAACTCTCTCAGCAGCTTGTGCTAACAGAAACAAAGCCTGATGATCCAAAAGTAAGGCACTGAAGGATGTACAGGTCTTAAAAACAGCTGGAAGGTAACACTGACATACATCTTTTCTAGTCTACTCATGACACCACTTTTTTTTCCTGTTAAGTACAGTAAACACAAGCCCAAAGGGCAAAATTAACAATAATCATTGACAAAATCTTATGTAAGAGGTGAAAACAAGTCAGAAAAGCAATACCTGATTCATCCAGATGTTAAGCACCTTAGTCATCACCAGGCTTCATCCTCATCTGGGCTTGCATCTGGGCAATCATCTCCTGCATGCGGCGCAGCTGGAACAGAAAGACACCCAAAAGTGTTCACAACGATTTCATGAGAAGCCCAAAAATCCAGGAAACCTAAAAACTTTTTTTCTATGGTAGAACACAGATCCTTTTTTCCTCCTCACAAACTGGACATGTTCAGTAATTCACATAACTGAATACTTTGGTTTTCTCCATCTCATATTCTTCAGTTCAGTACATCTGACTTTCCCAAAAGATTTGTAAGAATATTTATAATGAAAATGAAGCAACCTTTTGAAGCCAGCTATGCTTGCAGACCTGTGAATCAACATTTAACCCATAATCAGGAAATGTCCTTTAGGTATGCACAGAGCTACACCTCAAGTGAGCTCACCTAGAGTGAGCTGAAGCAGCTTGGTTCTGATACAGGTGCTCAAAGCATAAGATCATGCAGGAACACTCATCCTGTGACTACCAGAGAATTCTGCAAATTTTTAGCAGAAGTAACAGCCAAACATGAAAACAAGATTTAAAAACCATTTCAAAAGAGAAATAGAAAGATGTTTATAAAATCTGGAAAGCCAGACTAAACATATTAAGCACCAATGTTTTTTTATATCTAAACAATTACTTTTCCTGGAAATAACTGTTTTCTTAAGGCATTTTCTTATAACACTTAAAAGTTGGTTTCCATCTCATAAAAGGCCACTTAAATATAATACTTTGTTGCTGGTTGTTTTTTCCAAAAAAATAATATTAACCCAAACAAACATTCCTAAGACAGAAGAAAGAAAACAAATATGGATTTTCAAAGTATATATGCAAATACCTCTAATTTGCTTTACAAATGACTGGGTACTTCCTTCCAAATGCAGGTGGGGAAGCTCCACTCACAGAACTACAAGAGCCTCATTTTACAAAATGGGAAGGAAATGGGCTGCTATTTTCATGAACATTGAGTCCACCTCAAACCAGAGATCACGTAAAAATCTGAGGCTTGTATAACAAGTTCTCTTTTTTTTTTAATTATGTAGAGAATTGTTTTCATTCATTTTCAGGAGGAAACTAGCTGAAAAAGCACTGTCTAAACAATTATATTCTGTTTTCATCCAGTCAACCACATTAACTACTGTGATACTCATTACTCCACCAGGTTCAGTACACAAGAACCTGAGACAAATGCTTGAATGCATGCCTGTGGTGTTGAGCTGTTGTTTTGTTTTGTTTAAAGAAACCCCATCAAACAAAGAAACAACACAGAACAAGAAAAACTAACTGCAGGTGCCTACATTACTTCTTCTTGCCTGCTCTCAGATAGAGATTCAGGAAATAGTAAGGAACAGAAGATTAAAGAGTAAAAAGGATTGCAGCACAGCCAGCAGTACCAGAGCTTGCCTAAAACTCGCTGGCTTATGCACTTATCCTCTTGCTGCAGCAGCACAGGGCTCAGGAGAGAGGAGTTCAGGTTCCTGTGACTGCTGCAGAGATGCCCTCTGATAAAAGGAGATTCACACAGGAACAGCATGAGATACAGCTAAGTCTGTGAGGATTATTATAAACCCATCTACATCTTTCTGCTAAGTACTTAAAACAAAAAGCTGCTGATCAAGAAGATGTCATAACATTGCAGGAAGAAGGAAAAAAAAAAAAGGCAGAAAGTTCCCAAGATGAGTGCTGCCTTGATTTCATGAGACAAGAAAAACCAAAAGTTTCAAAGATCAACTTGTAAAAATGTAAGACACCTGGTCTTTTGAACTGCCTCTCTGCAGATTTACCATCAGAATAAAAGTAGCTTTTTGGAAGCTCTCCTACTTGAGCTTTCCCAAGAGTACTCCAAGCTGAGCCATGAAACATTCCCAAAATAGAAACCATTCAGTAATCACACGGGGAGATGCTGCTGCACACGTAGAATGGTGACTGCTCAAATGCAGAATTCTGCTAATAGCCAACATCATCTTTTAAGACTTAAATACAGCACTAAGAATTGCATTGTCTTAACTTTATCTGATAAAAATAGGCCCACAGCACAAAATAAATCAAATGCTGCATATGACACAAATATAAGGTAGCACAAAAGCCCCAGGAAACCTACTCTGCTCTAATGTTAAGACTGTAAAAGATTTTCCTTTTCCATCCTCATGTGGTGTTTTTGAGACCTACTGGTGAAGTCTCAGTCTTAGGCAAGGAATGGCAAGTTTCTGAAGCTATTTTAGAATAATTCAGTAGAAAAGCTTTCAGGCACAAGGCATGTGAAAAAAACTAGGCACAATGTTGTAAGATTTTAAAAAGGGAATCAAGCTCAAGTGTAAGTGCCAGTCTCTTCAACAATTCTTTGAGTAGAGGACAGGATACAAGAGCTGCTCTTCTACACTACACTACAAATCAAAACCAGCTCATGTTCACCTCACTGGACCTACTAAATAGACAGAAAAAACCCTCTGCTCTTAATAAAGAAGAATGTAGAAGAATCACACCAAAGACTGAAATTGCTGTCATGTCAACATCTGTGTTCCCTTTGCTGTTGGGGACTGCAAGCATCAAGGGCAGAAAGTGATTTTGATCTTGCTGTGCAGTGAGCCCTTCTCACTGGAGGAGCACCATTGATATATTTGTGTTCATCCCCTAAAGAACGGATGCTACAACATGACAGCATAGGGCCAATGCACATCATGAAAAGGAAGCTGGGAAACAATGTTTGGAAATCTGTTAAAACAAATAATTCCTGTGAATTCTCAGATAACAAAAGGCAAAAGAATAAACGTAACCTTGGTATAAATGCCCCTTAGTTTACTTATGTCAGGTCTACAATTTAGTTCAAACGACCATGTAACTACTGCAGCAAACCAGAAAGGAAACAAACATTTAAAATGAGAGTTAAGGTTACAGAGTTAAAAGTGAACCATACATCTCATTAATAGCTTCCACACCCTTAACAGGAACCACATAGACACAGCTCTGTTGTACCTACAGAATTTCACCACAATACCAACAAATACTATTGCTGTTTAAACAACATCAGCAGCTTCTCAGTGACCCACATGCAGGTATCACAGGAGAGATATCAAGAAACACACAGTATTTACCTCCCACTGGTATGTTTCCCCTCTACCAAATCTGTTTATTTCTATCCATGCCTTTACATAAGAAAGGCATAAATGAAGAGGCTGCAAGAATAGGGCAAGATGGAAAACTGCAGACAGTGAATTTTTCTAGTGAATGTTACCATAAGAGTTCTTTTGATTAAAAATACTTCCAATACCAAAGAACAAAAATAATTTTGTCAACTGAAGACAAGAAAAATACTCGTGATAAACTGGAAATGGGGCTATCATTGAGATAAATGTCTTCCACGGGACATACTGACAAAGAGCAGAAGTCACTCTGGCCACAGCCATTGCAGTATATGAGCAGCTTCAAAAAACAGCTAAAAACGACCAAAAAAAAGCAATTACCAAAAACAAAGTTTTTCATTATAATTCCTCAGGGACTCCCATTGCTAATTGGGGTTTTTTCTTCAAAAGTTCTCCAGGACTAAGACTGCACACTTCATAGACTGAAGCATTCTGTCCCCTGCACTGGGCAGTAACATCCCACAAATAAATTAAACTTCAGACTTGTTTTTATTTCCCTCAGGTCTGCAGGTCTTCATCAGCAGTCATGCTGTCTCTTCCTATAAAAGTCTGTCATTTATCTTTCAAGACACTGCTTTCCCAGACCCCAGCAGCAGCAGTTACCTGCACACACGGGTGCCATCCTCACTCCCCACAAGGCCACTGCAGCCCCCAGGCCTGGCACCCCAGTGCTGCTCCCCCTCCTGACTCCCACACTACCCCAGGGCTCTTTATCTCATCTGCCAAAGGGTTACAGACGTTCAGAATGTGGAAGGACAGAGAGAAAACAAGTTCAACATTGTGTCCATTCTACTACATACAGCCCACTGCTGACCAGCCCCACTGAAAACACAAGTGCAGAGAGATTTGCCCGAAGTCTCAGGGCAGCTCGCTAGAGAAATCCAGAGGAGTTTATGCCATGTTTTCATGTAACCACAGCCCTAATATTTTTCTGGAAGTACTACCTCTCAAAACCTTGAAAGGTTTTTATTAACAAGACATCTTCAGAGTAGGAAAAATATGGCAGAAAACGACAAACTTTAAGTTTGTGCCCACTTACACTAGAACATCAAAATAATCTGTTCTGCATCATATTTACAGTAAGGAACAAGAAAATCTTTATGTCTATTCTCATTTTCCAGCTCTAAACAAGTCATCACTTGCAAATGAGCAAAAGCACAACCAGACTAAGCAATAAATCCAAAATGACAGATTAGCAATTCCAAATTGGCTGAACTGTGGACCACATCCTTTGGCATAATAAAAGACCATTTAGCAAAAGTGATGCCTTGATAAAGATGATCCTGGCACTAGTTCAAGCATTCATTCCTTCCAAGGTTATATAAACCTCACAAAACTGTAAATAGAACATCAAGCACCGTTACTGATGGGAATGCAGAACAGGAGGGGAAATGGATATTTGTTTTCTCTGTGAAGGCCATGGAATGCAAGCCCATTTCCTCTGTGCCTCTTTCCTCCACAGATTTTTCCCAGTCTGAACCTTAGGGATGATTTGGAGATGAAGGGACTTCATACCAGCTTATCTACAGAAGATTCAGCAAAGCCTCTTGATCTCTTTGGAACAATAGAATGCAGAAGTTAAAAATGTATTTGTTTTTTCAAGTTCTAACCTAATCCCCCACAACTTCAGCAGCAATTATTCAGAGATGATTAGCCCCAGAGGAAACTTTCAAAGACTGTCCCCTGAGAAATTCAAAATTTCATCCCTTTAGCCATGTTATATAAAAGACACATTACATATTTATATACTGGTCTATTTTGACCATTCTGTGTCAAGGCTAAAATAGAATATATATATATATGTATATATACACACACACACACACACACACATATATATATATAGTGCTTGTCATATCAACAGTTTCCAGGGAAAATATTTATAGGAGACCTTTCCAGACATAAATCTTAAAACAAATAGTTCTACAAGGATACCCAAGATTCTGTTTAACTACTGGGCATGTACAACTTACATAGTTCAAATAACAGGAGAAACAGTTATGACTTAAATTCTTTAAGTCTACTTGTTTGCTTGGAATCATTAAGGAAAAATAAAAAACATTTTCAAAAAATGCTTTTGACATTTTCTAAGTATTCAGTACTGCTGGCTATCAGCTGATGGGCTTCTGTTGCTTTGCTCATGCTCCAGTAAATGGGAGGCAGTTAATTTGTGTACAGAACACTTGCAGAAGTTCCACTCTTGTATGTGCACAGCCATCAAGCCTGCTTATGCTGCTGAAATGCAGTTATATAGTGATGAATATGCAGCTCACTCAATCTCCAGTAATTCATATTATTAACTACTAATTATGGTGATAATCAGCTGCTTCTGCATTTCCTTTTAGGAAAATTTTTTGCTATTTATATCAACATGCCAGGGTTAGCCAATAGCTAACCAGGGTTAGCTATTTTTAAATATGGATGCTATAAGGGAAAAAGGAAATTTCAAAAATTTCCATGTATGGGAGTCAATCTTCCACCTCAGAAACACACAAAACTGCTTGTAGTTTTTTTATTTTTTATTCCAAATCACTGCACAAGTGCAATGATCTTTCCAATCATGCTTTCCTGCAGTTATGGACATGGATCCAAGCTGAATTGGATAAAAGAAGGATAAAGAGAAAAAACCCACTATCTTACAATTGGCAGCAAGTCTTCAGTTTTCACACTGCAAATGGTACAAGCACTGGCAGCGTACTGCTGGAATTTAAATATCAGGCTAAAAATGTCTGAGAGTCTTTACAATTTCAACATAAAAATACTAAGTGAAAAGGCCTAGCAATGACTTGGAATCAGAGTGAGAAATCAGAGTTTGAAAACACCAAATCCATAAACCAACAGGCATAACAAAAATACTATGATTTAAGTCAAGGTTAAGATGAAAAAACACATGTATTAATTACATGATGGGATTTTTAAGACTCAAAAGCCTACTTCTACTCCATAGCCACATGATATAAGAAATTTACTGGCAATGTGCTTGCAGTAACCACATGCACATCTGAAATGCCATGAGACTGTCAGTCTATCTCACTACAGCATGCAGCATGTGTAGCTGACAAACATAAATTGATTTCAATACTTAAAATAGCAAATATCCTTCTGGAAAATTAGCACCCAAACAGAAGTGATACAACCAAGAGTGCACACACTACCTCCCATCCACAATGCAAGTGACTATAAACACAACACTGTAAGGGCAACTTGTATGGTCAGGTTAGGTCTGTCATCTGTCATTTTGCACAACTGCAATCCTACCTGCCACAGGCAGTAGCTGATGCAGAAAACTGAAACTGGAACATAGCATGTTATATTAAAGAACAAATTTTATGAAGTTCCTCTTACCTCAGCCTCTTTCTGCTGGAGGATTCTATCCTTGTCTACCACTTCCTCTTCAACAGGTCTATTGAAGAAAAGAACACATTGACAGCATAAAATACAGAAGTAAAAACTGACAAGAACAGATTCAAGACTCATATTTCAATTCATGTAACATCAAAGTCTACGTTCTTCCATACAGGGGAAATTAGGATATTTTTTAAATCATGCTTCCTTTTTGTAAAAGGCCATCTTTATCTCACAGACTTCTGCTATTCACTCTCTATTTCTTAAAATTTGATTTCTTTACTGCTATATGGATTTTTCTTTTTGCAATTTACTTTAGTGAAGGTATTTCCATCACCATCTATCCATGTTACTGGATCACATGTCACTGGATCAATCACTAAAAAACTGTGTAGGCTATTTCATTTCTTCTTTAACATCAAAATGCTTTGCTGACTACTTGAAGAACAAGTGGAATGTGGACAAGAGTAAGCTGCTATCCAAAAAGATGCAGCAAAGGTAGATGTGGATTTTTTGCATTAAGTTGCCAAGGACAACCTTGCCAAAAATTAAAAAGATATAATAAACTCCATAAAAACACACAAATTAGCAAAAAAGATTGTTTAGTCTGAACTTCTCTCTTTAGCTACATGTGAAGGAGCAAGAGAAGCAATACTTCCCTAAGCAGATACACTGGGGTCTATTGAAATTTGCCCACTAGTGTTCATTGTCTTCAAGCAGACACCATTACACAAAACCTATCTTGCTTGCAGGCACCTTATTCCTTCATTCCAACTAAAAGCATAGAGAAAAGGGGATTTAAGCTGCTCATAAGCACAGCACTTTGCTATCTATTATTCCTCTTTGGGAAGAGCATTTCATACAAATTTCAGAATTCCAGATTGAAATCTCAGCAGAAATAATTGTTTACAGGTGGGATAAGTCAGGAGGAAGAGCAAGACCCCTGTCAGTGGGCAGTGAGGAGCAGCAGGGCCCAGGGGCAGCACACACTCACTTGCCAGTGCGTTTGAGCCTCTCGGAACGGAAGTTCTCATAGTGCAAGTCTTGGGTCACCTCCTGCAGGTCCTGCATGTGTGTCCTAGAACATGCAAAGGGCTTTGAACAGTCATTCTCAGCAAAGCAAAGAAAAACACCCTTTTATCTTCTGTTTCTGTTGTATCTAATGGATGCATTTACCTGAAAAGTAAATCCTTACAGACCAAGCCAGACAGAACACTGCTTTCATTCCTAAGTGCCCCACCAATACTATTAAAAGATCCAAAATATACTGTCCTTCTCTTGGACATTAACTATTTCAGGTAAGTTGTTTACACTTGTTTTTGCAGTGTTAAGAACCATGCAAACACAGTTATTCAGAAAGACACTTTAATTTCAAAAGTATTTTATTACTCTTAAATGCTGTCAAATATAATTTGTGACTGGAACTACGTGGAGCTGCTTGGCTTGCAAAACAGCTGACATTGCTTAACAATTTCCAATTGCCATGAAGAAGAAGGAAAACCTGCTTGCTCCCAATGTCCAGCAGAGGGCAATCCCTGCCCAGTGTAGAATGAATTTGGAATGACACAACGGAATTCACTTCCAACAATAGCAAAACATCGGTTTTTTTTTTTTAAAAATCACTTAAAACCATTTACGCAGGCAGAATATCCGTGTCGGCTAAAATCATAATGGGGTGGGGTATCATATTTAACAAAGGATTTCCCATACTGCCAAGAATATTGCACTTTGCTTTTGGAATATTCTTCACTTTGAAGAGTATTTTAAAAGCCTCTCTGCCCTACCAACTGCACTATAACAAAACCTCAGTTGGTATGTACAGCCATCAGATCAGTTCACATAAGGCACAAAACCATCACATATATCTGGCAACATAAAATATTTTCTGAATTCAGAGATCAGAGAGTACAGCAGGAAAACAAGCTGCAGGGGACTAAAATGTAACTCTACACTGCCATCAGGGCTAGTTTTAAATGAAGGAATGAAGGTTGCTATAGGTTTTTAGTCATTGTGGCAGTTACGTCACCACAGGAGATGGGATCGTTTCACCATTACTCACACCAGCATTGTGCGCAGCTTGAGGAAATCATTGTGCTCTGGATTTTCAACCTCAACAACTCCCCAGGGATACAAGCGGCCTCTGATTTTCTTCCCCTTCACCTCAATAAGTTGATTGGATCCAATAACAGCAAAGGGAATGCTAGCCTAATTGAGACAGGAAAAACAAGTTACTTTTGATTTTTGGCTGGTTAGTTTTTGTGTTTTACTTTGTCTTTCTCTTAAAGAAAGGTCAAAGATTCAAGTAACAGGCAAGAAAAGGGGAAAAGAAATGTCGACAAACTCTCTCACATCAGAAAACCAACAAATCCCCTTCTAGGCAGTGCAGCCTCTCCTTATGAGCACCTGTAACTCTGTTAGGATCAATTTGTTTTACAGAGGCCCAGAAGGAAATGACACTTTGCTGTAGGAACACTTGACTGTTGTTCAAATACAGTTTGGGCATAATGTGTCATCTGACACAACATCATGCATGGAGAACAGCCAACAGAAACATACTTCAGATGCAGAGTGAAGTAGCTAGAAAGAGAATTTCAGACACATTCTTCAAACACCTTTGAAAGCACAAAGAGGAAATTACTTCAGTAAAACCTTGATTATCTGCTTTAACACGAGGCAAGTTGTTAATTAATACAGCAACCATAACACAATCTCTCTCCTTGCTCACATGTTAAAACGTTTGAGTCAGAAAACAGACTGCAAATAATAGTTCATAGTGAACAGTGGTTTACACTTAAAAGAGAGAAGAGAAGAAAGTCATGACACACTACACTTGAAATTCTGATGAAGCAGAGACTGGAATAAAAGGGATTATAATTCAGAGTCAACATACAAGGGAAACTGAAATTTTCAACACAATGTAAAAGGAATAAAGTACCTTTAGGCATATTTTAGATTGAAGAACTACAGTAGCAAAATAATAAACAGAGTGAAACTTGCCTTTAAAACTCTAGTTTGTTCTTTAAACTCCTCATCTTCATCAGAATCTGCATCAGGGAGCTGATAAATCCTAATGCCATGTTCAGAAATCTCATCCAGAACCTGAAAGTTCGCAAAAACGAAAGAATAATACTCTTATTTCATTGAAGAGGTATTAATACATTTATACGAAATTGATTTACTAGTCTGTAACAAATATTCACCTGATTCAGTGTCCAAACTGCAAAATACCACAGACTTGAAGGTTTTTGAAAAGGTACAAAAGATAAATGTATTTTTGGAAAACATACCAAGACAATAATTTAAAAATGCCAGAAGATTTACAAGGCAAATACAGAAGCAAAGTGAGGTTAATATGAAAAAAGAGTAAAAGTAACAAGAAGGAATTCAGTAGTTAGAGAATCAAAACCATCCACCCCAGGTCAAAGTACATCTTTGTGCATTTTATATATTCAAAATGTAGAAGAGCGCACCTGTTACCTCTTGAATCAAAAAAGATAAAAGCTTATTATCCACTTAAACTGGAGAAAGTCATTAAAAATCCACTAAGAAAAAGACCCTATTCTTTAACAGTTTTCTTTGTCATTAATGTCTGAAGTTAACATAAAAAATACAGTATTTGTATTCCTGGGCACATTCTTTTCCTAATGAAATCACTGCAGGGGTGAGCAGCCAGCATAACTCCAGGCCTTTAGCAGTTTCAAAAGGTGGCACAAGTCAATTCATTTTTCAAAACCAAAGAAAATGCTTCTGCTGCCACTACTGAATATACTGAATATACTCAAGTCAGCTCTTGTCACTCCATCAAATGCACTGACAAGAGTTACTTTCAGTAAAGGAAGTGTGGTGGCATAAGGAGAGCATGAAGAATGCTGAGATTCCACAATGACTCTCTCCAAAGAGATCTTGGATGTTTCAGCAGAAAAGGGGAACTGTGCAAACTTCCTAGAGCAGCACCTGAACCAAGCAGCTGCCCTGCTGAATGAACTCTCAGCATTAACAAAGTTTGGGCAAATTCAGGGAGAGTTTTAAAGTAATAGTAAAAATATTCAGAAGAGCCTGTGTAAGGACTTGTGATGCCATTACTGATATACAACTGGTGATTAACTTGGTAGAATGAAACAAGCAGACTTCAAATAGAGAGATCTTAACGAGCCTTCTCTGAGTATTGTTGGGTTCCTCCATCCTCTGTCATGATGGCAACCGACAGCTACAGTATAAATGAAAATTGTCCCACCAGAACTTTGTTATTAAACAGGTGTTTAAAAGAAAACAATTCTCCAGACCATTAGCAGAGGAAAGGCCATGTGTGAGCCACAGCTGTTCCCTGATGTTTTCCTGCCAGGTATTCAAACATCCCCCCCGCACTCACACACGAGAGCTGAGGGAAGCACTACGAGCCCCCACCTACACAGAGAGCAAAGAAATTTGGGAATAAGTGTTGCCAATAAGCAACTAAGATATTCACACCATGGCATTTAAATCAATGGATGTTGTGAACTGTCACCAAATGGCAATAGAAGATGCACATCTGGGATGGGTGGGGCAGCACTGCAGTTGGATGCCTTTAAGTAGTTGCATAAAACAAGAAAGCACATTTAACCTGGCTGAGATCTTTGAGATAAAACGCAAGTGGAACAATAACGGGAAAGCCAACAGCAAGGGGTGCTAGAATAATATATTACAGCTGTTAAACCTAGTGCTTTCCTGAAAGGAAAAAGAATTGCAATAAAAACAAACTGTATTTTATGCTCCTAACAATGAAATAGCATTTTGCTTCTTCAAATCCGAATTTTATTGGCCTCAGAGGATTCTGTGTTCCTAAAGATTAGCCTTCCCATGGGAAATTAAAAAAAAAGTCAAAATATTAGTTCCCCTCTCATGAAGTCATTCTTTTGAGCATGTTTCCTTAGCAGCCTTGCATGGCACAGCTTGTGAGACTGTCGTGCATTTCTTCCCACTCAAGAGTTTTAAAAAATAACTTCGAATTCCAGAAAGCCCAAACAGGAATTACTCCAAGCTGGGTTTCCTTTGCAAGCACCACAAGCTAATCTTGCTGCTTAGTCCATAGCAGCAAAACAAAAACATTTTACTTCAGATTGACGGCCAAATGGCAGAAACATCTAAAAAAAGTAAGACTTCAAGCTGCGTCAGCAATGCAGGACTTTGATTCCTATTCTTGATTAGAGACTCTGTTGGCCAAGATGCTTTGAGTTAGAACAATATACAGTAGCTTTGATTTTCAAAGCTTTGGAAGCACATTATACATTTGACTTAATATAAACTCAGTTTGCAGAGTGACCTTTGCCAGCAGTATAAAAATAATGAAAGCTTGTTTACCTGCTCCCTAACCACTCCCTCACACTACAGATGCCCTTCATCTTGTTGTACTTAGCCAGTGCATAAATGTGGTGTCCATATGTCTAAGTCCAGATTGCTTTAAAGATTAGTTAGTTAAAAGTTAGTATTCACTGGGAATTTAACTATTTTAAAATAAAGTTTAAATAAGTTAAAGATATTTATATATTTACATAAACTATAAAGCTTTATCTTTCAAGTTAGTTTGGAGTGTGACTATTGAACTATGAACTATATATTTAAATTATAAAGTTTAATATAAGTTTTAAAATGAAGTATTCTAGTTTAAATAAAAACTAATGTTCCACTTAAATGCCTCCTTGAAATCTTTCAACATCATTCTGCTTCCAAATGCTGAACCAAAACATAAGCAACTATTAACACTGAGCCTGAAGTACACTGCTGAAAGGGTGTATACAGGGGGTTTTACAAAAAGTAGCAGCTCCACAAATAATGTGAGATAAAAATCTTTCACAAAGTCAGTATGGTAACAGAAAAGGAAAAGCAATAAAACCTGCACAATTAGCCACATTTTTGCTTTATGATGTCCCTATGAGGTCTTTCAATTTGAATGCAGGGCACCTGTCATTACCTTATAGTATTTGTGGAGGAACAAAATTAAAGCTCAAGAGCCTGGAAAGAATTTCTTCCACCAAGATCTAGAAGTCCTTCTAGTCCCAATTAATGTACTTTTAAAATTTCCTTCCTCCTTTCGCCTGGCTCACCATAAAGCTGCTCATTTCTGTATCTCCTCCCCTCTTTAGTGAATGTTTGCCTGCATTGCAGACAAGGTTCATACAGTCACAACTGTCCCCACTTTTAACTTCCTCAGCTATGAATGATTCATTCCATTTCTTGGGCAAGTTTTCTTACACCACTGAGCTTTATAAAACACAGCAGCAATGGCAGCAGTACCTCACCTTGTCAAAATGTAGCTCTTTACTTGCTCACACAAACCATGGTCTCACCTGCCACTGTGGCACTGGTTCACTCAGAAAAACTCCAAACAAATCCTCTGAATTTAGGTGGAGTTCAGCCAAGGTGCTGCTTTGCAAGCATGATTTTGTCTATACTGTTTTCCCAGTTAAATAAAAATGTAGTCTCTCCTCAAGAAAATAGAAAAATACTCCCAACACAACCACCCTTAGAATAAAGATCTAATAATCATTCTAAAGGCCTACAGGAAGTCACAGGGTCACAATCAAAACAACTGTTATGCCCTGCGTGAAAATGTAATATAAAAGATATCTTACCATGAAAAGGTTTACTCTGGTGTAAAACACAGACTGCAATTTAGAACTATTCCCCATCTCTACACTACTAAGGGGCAAGTCATTACATTTGTAAAAATTCATAGGCTTTGTAGGGTTCAAACCCGTTAGACTTTACAAATTGTACTGGTTTTGAGTCAATTGAACCTGACAAAGCTTGTGACCTCAATATTTTAACATCTAAATTTTACTGGGCCACTTCTAATGTACATAATACAATCACACCACCTAGCCATTCCTTTAACAAGGTGCATAAAGGCATTCTCAGAGAATAAACCAGAACAGATTAAATATTTACATTCATTGCTCAGATGATGCAATAAAATGGAAATTTGATTTAAGGTAAAAGACTTGTACAACCACAAATATTGACATTATTCCATTTAATTCACTACAATGTCATACCTGGCAAAAGCTGGCTGTCTTAGAAAGGTTTATCAAAAAACAAAATTTCAAGATGCCAAGTAAACCTTGCAAAGCAAAGAATGATTTTAGTACTGCTGTCTTTAAAGACAAGACAGTCTCGACTGGAACCTTGAGTATGTCCTGATGTTCCAGATGAACAGATCACCCAGCAGGAAAAATGTTCACACAACAACATGCATTTTCCCATAACAATGGAGCCACAAAAGCATCCTGCTCATATATATTAACCCAACTGTCCTGTCTCTGTATTTTAGTTTGTACCATGGGTGCACTTATTTAAAAAGTTTCCAACCACATTTTGGTACAAACCACGCAGCAGAGTGCACAACCCAAGAACCTTCTGGATGGAACTGAAGATGTGCCCTCAGAACACACCTGATGCACTCCCAGCAGCAAGGGGCACTCAGGCCACTGCTCCCTGAGAGTCAAACATCTCCACTTCTCCTTCCAGGATTGTCTGAACCCATTACAAACTGTGTTCTTAAAACTTCCCTATTGGGTGCACTGCTTTGCTAAGATACATGAAGCCAAGAACAGCCACATCCTTAGCAAGTGTAACTGGCAAAGCACATCAGACTTCAGTGAAGATTTCCCACCTCACACTTCCCGAAGATTAGGTCCTTGGCCAATATCATTCACCCCTCTTCAGTTCGAAATTACTTTATATTTGGCTTTAATATTGTATGAGTTGCTCTGTTGTCATGATAAAGTGTTAGACCTACTCTTCTCTTCAGCCTCTCCCTCTCCTTCAGCGTCAGGGTGTCAGCCTTGGCAATCACAGGGACAATGTTGACTTTTCCATGAAGAGCCTTCATGAATTCTACATCTAATGGCTTCAGTCTGCCAACAAGCAGGGAAAAAAAAGTTTTAAAATATGCATGGGGTCTTGTGTTGTTTGTTTTATAACAGACCAAACGTATTAAAATTTATTTATTTCAAGTGTCCACATAAACAGTATTTTCATACTAAATTAAGCCATTAAGTTTAATGTCCTTGCTTATCAACTTGGTTGTGCAAAGTTTAAGTTGTAATTACAAGTGCCACCATGTAATGAAGTGGATATTAAAAGCATTTATGTTTCTGGGTGATAAACAATGCACAATGACCACCTTGAAACAATATTTAAATGCAAAAGGGGACAAAGTAAAGGAAAGCACTAATCTCCAAAGACTGTTTTTAATTGCACTGGCTAACTGACAGGTTGGTAACTCAATTAACATTACTGCTAAGTTACCAATTCAAGTAATGAACAGACTTATGAACTGCTACGAAGGTACAACACCCTAAAATACAAAATCTTGAGCTTTTCCTTACCCATGCCCAAAAGGAGAGATGAAGTAGAAGCAGCAGTGGACTCTGTTGTCTATGATGTGGCGCCTGTTCAGACCACTCTCATCATGCAGGTATCGCTCAAACTGGTTGTCAATGTAGTGGATAATTGTTTTGAAGCTGTGGTATGGGAGGGGGGAGAAAGAGAGGTATCTTACATCAGCTTTAAATAATAAGGAAAGAATCAAGAAAAGATAAGAACAGGAGGAGAAACTTTTATTTTAAACACTGCTGTTTCAAAAAATTCAACTTCCTAGCATTTTATCTAGTACTAAGGAAAAATATTTTGATAATGCAATTGGGTGTTTTCATAACAACCACGAAGTGTCAACTTACACCTAGAGCCAATTCCAAGTGTTACTTTGTTCACTGGATAAAAAGTTCAAGTGCAAGCTCAGAAAAAAAGCACTCAGTGCTGAGAAAACACAGGAACAAAAGACTGAGGATTTTTCTGCCTTTATTTCTGGGGGTAGGGGCTGAAGATTTGTTTTCAAACTGGTTGATAAATGACATTTCCCGGATATCCTCTTGATTTACAGCCCTGACCCTAGAGCCAGGTTTCTATAGTTATGAAAATTCTAGTATTCTAGTCTGTTTGAATTAAGTACAACTACATTTGCAAGTCATGCACTCAAGCATCACATGATTTATTAAGCTATTTCTGTTACTTTACACCATTCTTTTCTGGTGGTAAAGAAAAATAATTCCTACTTAGTTCAAGGCAATTTAAAATATTCCCTACAAAGGAGTAAACGAGCACAAAAATCTGATCACATAGATTAATCAGACACAGAGAGCAGTGACTAGAGAGAGAGAAGAAAACACAATGCATAATTAAGAAGATCATTTTAAGCTATTTCAGAGCCTGCAGACACCTGCAAACACCATTAATATAAAAGAACACTTTATATTACGTACTCCAAAGGAAGGGAAATGAGCAGCTGACGTAGATAAGGTTAAGCAAATGATTGTGGATCATGAACATGTCTTAAACTACTTGAGAAAAAACTAAGCAGAAAGTTTAACTTGAGAAATAGGAATAGCCATATTTCTGTTGCTGAGAAAGCACAGACTTGATGATATACATTTAAGGAGGAAACAGAGCAGATAACAGAAAAGAAAATTAATAATTTGGAAAATGAACAAAGAATTCTGGCAAACTCTGTGATAGGCAGCAACATTTGACCCAGGGATGCATGGCTGCAAAGGAGATAATAAAAGAAAGTAACAAGAAAGATGGAAGGGATCCTGGAGGGAATTTGATTTCTCCTAAGCTAAGTAAGCTTTTGGATTGAGAAGAAATAAATCAATGGTAGAATATACATACACACATTTACATCATTGAAAGATTTGGCTGTTCTAAGTCATATTACAGAAGACAACAATTGGGTTTTGACCTTAGTGCTACTCATTCGGAAACAGCATCTTAATACCTAAACCTGCAGAAAAACATCAATATGGTTTTTGTTCCTGTTAATCTTCAATACTTCTCTTAGCTGGTAAAAGGTAACAAAACAGAAGACATACAAATATTAGGACAGAAAGCAAACACTAACAATGGAAAAGAACTATCACACATTTCTCTGGCAATGTAATTAGTTGACGTGCAGTTTTCTAGGTCTAACAGCTCCAATTTTCCCTGTAAATACGGTGTCAGTGTCCTGTACCTCCTGACTTCCGGGAAACACCTGGCTTGTACCACAGTGCTGTCATTACTTAGGAGATAGCACATCCTGTATTGTAACAGCAAACAACACAAATGCTGCATTTAAACACACTGGGGGAAAATTAACAATATTATCAAGCTGCCAAACTCAACAAAATATAACCCTAGCCAGTTTAAAAAAAAAAATTAAAAATTTAGCAGCAGCCAAAGAGGAGAGAGCAGCTATCAAAGAATGACCTGTGACACCTCAAGCAAGATGAAATAAAGAGTGTGATCAGCAATATCCAACGAGTTCACCTGTAGTCTGTTTTTGTCAACCACTTTTTGAGGCCAGATATCAAAGCAAATCTAAGTATCAAGCAATTTTTTCCTCCTCTGATCAGATTCCCTCTCTTCTCATGAAAGTTGTTATTTTAAGGACATGCTTCTCTCATGATCCCAGTGTTCTTACACATGGAAAGATGAATGTGTCAAACCTCCCACCATAAAGGATTTTGCTGTTCTCCAAACACACCCCTAAACTGATGCCATAAGCAATCCTGATTCTAGAATACAGAACTCCAGCCAGCACTAAAGCTCCACACAGAATCTTAAAAAATCACCATGGTTAACTGTGGTTCACCTCCACCTTTCCTTTCATATTACTTTAAGTACAGTAGCATCCAGAAATCAAGAATTACTCTATTTCAGAAAATGTGTTGTACTAAATCTATAACAGATCATTTCCTAATCCAATACTGTTGTTTTTCCAACCCAGTAGACCTCCTGGACACACTCCTACCAGCACAAAATCCTTTTTCTTTGACACAAAATACATAAAAATTTACCTCAGCTCCCATTCATGAAAGTCAAACTCTAAAATTTAGCCCTTTCATGACTGCACAGAGACTAAAAGCCATTAGGGAACCTACTCAGGAGAAAGATATTGAAAACACTCCCAGTGACTGCTGCCTCCTAGAGACACCACGACAGTTTGATTCACCTATGTTCAAAAACAGCCTTAATAAAATTTGTCACCTCGAAAAACAACCAGTCTGCACAAATTGCAGCCTTATAAACCTTGGGTTATGATCAGCACTATTTAAAAGTGAACCATGACTACAGTAAATGTTCCTGAACATAAACATAAGTTCAAGAACATGAACTTGCTCTTTCCTCTGAACTACCAAGGAAGGAAGGTGGCTGCACTGGGCTAGTCTTCACTACAGCTGAAAACAAAGAGTCTGTCCATCCAAGTCCCTGAGACATCCTGTAAAGATAAAAGTCTTTGTCAAAATGACACATGTCATGGCTGAAAGGCTTTTCATGTGACATAAGTAGACTAAAGAGATATCATTAAATGCATCTTTTTATTTTGTAGGATGCAAGTACTATTTGTTCCTGTAGTCTATTTGATGTTTCAGATTTGTCATAGAAAATTACGTATAAATTGTTCTACTCGAATCTGAATCACCACAAAATGATTCTATTCAGAAAACCTCCCAAAAAAAGGGGAAAACCTGAACACGTAGGTCTCTAAGAAACATCTGAGCAGAATAAACAAAGGGCATTAGAACACAATCAACAGGAAGAGCTCTCTATAACACAATGCACAGGCTGCAGAGCTCTCAGCTCCAGCGGAAGGAAGCTCTAGTCAACAGTGCACAAATAAGCAAGACCATGATGCAGCCCAGAAAGATGCCTTTGTGTAATTCCAGAAGTTCCATTTTTTTCAACTTACTCAAGTAGGAAAAGTGGGAGAAAAATAAAAATCTCACTAGAGCTTCACTTTCAGACTTTCATTTTGTGTATTACAGAACTTCACTGCTTTCACTTTTGCTGTGTTCCTACACCAACTGCACCACAGAAAGAAGAGAAAAACCATCTGGTAAGAGCACTGCAGAGACATCATTCTGTCAATGAAAGATTGCAAAACATTCTATTAGCATTATATATGTTTACTTTATCTGCTATTTGTCTCTTTCCTGGTCTTTAACTTATAGTGAAGGACTCAAATTAACCTGTATTAGCTTTATGCTCCATTTCTCTGCACAGTGATCCTTGTTTGCCTTGGGATTACCACCACTACCAGAAATAAAGTGTCAACAAAATTAACAGCTAAGTAAAATAAATATTGTTAGCACTTCTTAAAAGACAACCATGTGAAAATTCAAAGTTTAATCCACTGAAACTACAAGCATCCCAGTAAGGACATCTCATCTTTATTTGAAAAAATTCACCAGCTTTCCACAGTTAAAGAGAATTGCCTGAAATCAGAAATTACATTTATGAACGTAGCAAGTCTAGCTTTGTTACAATTCCTTTCTAGCTGATTTATAAATTTCTTTCTTCATAATCATACCGAAGCAATTATGTATATTTTCCAGTGTATCTGCTGACAATTACTTCATCCATTGAAAATTGTCTGTGATATTTAGGCCAGCGAGTGCCAAGTGGTAACTTTATCATAAAAAAAACACCAGTTCCACTCAAATTGCTCGTAGTACATATAGAGGACAGAGAATGAAAAGAACTGTCTTAAAAACATGGAAACTGGATGGGCCAGAGACACAGAAAGTAAAAGACAAAAAGTTTCCTCCCACCAGAATTTTGTCCTATTGGAGTGGCCATAGAGGCAAAAAGCTGACTGCAGTGCTCAGAGAAATGTTTTGAAGGAGAGGCTGTTAATTTTGAGGCAGAATCATAGATACAGCCTACAAAACTTTTAAAAACATCAAAAGTAGTTAGAAAATTGAAACTGGAAGTTGTAGAAAGTACCAGACACACTAGAATAGTGTTTGTGTAAGACACACACTTTATTAACAAAGCAGTATTTACACACATACCAGTCCTGGCTGTTAATGGCATCTCCATATCCTGGTGTGTCAACTACAGTTAAACGCAGCTTCACCCCTCGCTCCTCTATCTCTACTGTAGAGGCTTCGATTTGAACTGTTCTCTCTATTTTCTCTAAAATAAAGGAACATTTGGATTGTTATTTGCCTATCAATTCCTGCAGAGACCACCACAGGAGAGAGCAATAGAGGAAGAACTGCAAGCCCAGGTGTGTTGTAACCTACATGACATAAAATATTTTATCAATATATACAAAGTAGTAAGCGGAATTTAACGCCCCGGTTTTTGTAAGTAAAAAGAAACAATGAACTAAAACACGGGTTTATGACAATATGCAAAAATAAAATCATAATAGTTGAAAGCACAATAGATTCTTTGTCAAAAAGTTATTTACACCTCTAACCAGGATTTAAGGCACTACAGACAAAAAGCAGTAAGAAGAAATGGGGATTAGAGCAAAACCACATTTAGGTATATTGATACCTAAAAGATTTGAGAGGTGTTTTTTTAATAGCAGCTGATAGAGAAACAAAAGCTGTCTTTGAAAGGCAATCTAAATAAGAAAATGACAGCTCTACAAAACATAATTTAAAAAATTTAAATACAGCATGATGAAGTGGTGTAATGGATGAAGAACGAAGCGATATTAATTGAAAGAACATGAAATTTTATAGGGTGGAGTGTGCTGGAGGAACTGCAAAACCACATTTACCTGCAGCTCCAGGAATATAACGTTCTGGATAAAGATCAGTCAGGAACAGACTGTTAATTAAAGTGGATTTTCCTAAGCCAGACTCACCTACAAACAAAATAATTCAGGTTATTAAGCATATATACTTTTTACTCCAAGATTTTTAAAGCACCTTGTCTTTCTCCAAGTCCACATTATGGAGGAAAAATAATTTGTTCATCAGGATCCACCCTAGCTTTTGATATAAAAACATCAAAGGTTCAGTTAAGAAAACACCGGAAAAACAAGCCTCCAGTGTTTTCATAAATGTTACATGAAAATTGTAAGTTTACTGTAACAGATGCCACAATAAAAGCTGAAAGGTCATACAGCACTTGGACTATAGATCTAGAGATAGTTCACTTACTTGAGGGAAATTAGATCTTTTTTCATCTAGACTTACAAAATCAGGAGCTATAACTCTCCTGCTGAAAATTTCTGAGCGTTGGAAGCTAGAAATTGAACCTGGAACGCTGCTGGGAAGATGAATGAGTAAAGCGACTCCAAATTAATGGTCAAGTTTTGTACTCTTACAGTTAAGCCCATATAGGTTCTATGAAACTGAAAATCATAAAGCAAATTATTCAAAATTCACCTGGGAAGTTTCATAATTCTGTTAACTTCAAATGATACCAATTTTGTCCTACATCTAAGTAACGAAGTTAAACGTGTAAATTTAACTACTAAATCCGAGTTTCAAAAAAACACTTGTTTCCTAAGTCAAGGAATCAAGGGAGTCAGCATTTAGACCAACTGGCTGTATTATTTTAGATGCTACTAACCTGATCTTAGAGATGAAAATGTTACCTGTATTTCTCATCACAAACTACATGACACAAGAACTCTACAATTATCACAAATTACCGATTTATCTAACAAACACTGCTGAATACTGTCACCAAGTAATCCCAAATGGTACTGCACATTTTCATTTTTCACTAACTGCTACAGAAGGGTAACAGTACTGTGGACTCCCTTTACACAGGCACACCATTAAACTGATTTAATGTAAATTGAACACATCACTTGGAAGAGCTTTGTGCCCAAAGGACTCTCCATCAAAGAGACTCAGAGATGCTCATTGACAGAACAGGCAAATTACAGGTTTATCTCTGACACCAGAGTGAGTCAGTACAGAACAGCAGAAAACACAACAGCAGCATCACCATTTCAACAGCAAGATACTCACCATATGCATTCATGTTCTCAGTGGGGAAACAAGAGTAAAAGAAAGATTAAACAACTACCCCTGTCATTTGACAATGAATCATTAATGCAAAAATGTTCTGTTGGCTCCAAGTCATCATCTTTAATCACTATAAATACTCCCTCCTACTAAACATGACAAAATAATAACAGATGTAATTAGAAAGTGTAGAGAGGTTCAAAGCTTTTTCTACTGTGTAACAGTCAATTGCAAAGAAGGAAGATGCATACATCTATGTGAAAGAAATGTTGTTGTTGCTGCTGTATAACAGTCAAAAATACTTAAAGAACTCACTTACCAACCACCATGAGTGTGAATTCAAAGCCCTTCTTCACAGATTTCCTGTGAACCTGGTTGGGCAGATTAGCAAATCCCACATAGCCTGCCGAGTCGGAAAACTGACAAGAAAACAAAGGTTGAATATAAATGAGATCCCTTTCCCCCAAAAAAGCTGAGAAAGAGTTTATTTGATTTGACACAATAAACTGCAAGGGTATATAAAGCACAAGAAAGAATAGAGAATGAAACAATTTTTGCTGCAATAGCAAGGCAGAGCTTGAAAAGGCTCATTTACCAAGCAGGTTGATATAAATAGAAATCAGATAATTACCTTAAGCTACACAAACAAGTCTCCCCTTGGATAAAATAAAAATCCGTAAGCTTGCAAGAACACACTACGATTAATCTTAAGAAATAAATCCAGCTTAAAATAAAAAATTCTGTTCAGATTTGGTGCCTACTGCTACTATCATCCATAAAAATAATGCATATGCTTACAGGTAAAAAACAAGAACATTGTACTAATGGGAGGATTACTGAGATACAATCACACAGAGATGTATCTTTTGCTTGTTAAGTTGTTCACCTATCTGCACAATCTCTAACTTCTAACACAAAAGCAGGAAAGAGAAACATGCCTGAAAAACTTATCAAAGAGATTTGGGCTATAAACAGGGCAGTCTGCTCCACCATCTGTTACCCATTGACTGAAAACCTAGTAGGAGCCTAAATAAGAACTCCAGCCACCTGATTTAGGGACCTATGGGCTACCTGGAACCAGATGTCTTCTTCACAAATGAGTTTATGATGAGAACAGGTTTTTTACAATGTCATACACTTCCAGTGATGTGGGGTGGGGGGGATACAAGGGAAACCATTTCAAAGATATTTATTTGCTAACAATCCTTTTAAAGCCTATGCAGGTGGGCAAAAACATTCGAAATTAAGTTTTGTCAGATGAAATTTCCTTAGGTGAAAGTGGCATTTCAACTTTGTAAGCAGAGACTGAATGTCAAGTGAACAACAGAAAGTCTATCACCAGGATCACATACAATCTGTTTCTACTAAGTGTTTATTTTAAGAAACACATCTGAAGCAATAAGGTATCATTTATTCACAGTTTTAGCACTTAAGTAAAACTAAAAATGTTTTCAGAAGTTGAACAGATACTAGACAAAATTATGGCTACATAGCTCTTTACCTTTACTTTTTCACCTGACTGAGACATGTTTCTTCACTTCAAGTTTCAGACACTAGAAAAAAAAAGCCATAGTGCATGTTAGCTGACTTGAAGATTACATTACTTTCAATTTTGAACTGATCAATTGCATGTAATAATCACATTTTATTCTAGTAGAATGAAATGTCACATACTTAAGGATTACCAGAACAAACAAGCCATAATCAAAATATCTTCCTTCTGAAATAAGTCACAGAAATACTTAATTTAAATACTTAAAAATTTCAAAACATAAATATTCCTTTAAAATGCAAAATATTAAAATTTAGTATCATAACAAACTTTCACCCATCCTGTCTTTATAGAGGGATGGTTCACAGATAGGCGAATGTAATGCAAATGTTGTCCAAGCGTTACATGTGAGAATCATCACCACATCCAAAAATTCTCATGAGAACAGGACACCTACATGATTCCCAGGTAAGGGGACAGGGTCAGAACATAATATCATTTTCAGTGACTTCAAAGTGCTATTGCTGATTAGGACACTACACTTGGCTAACCCACGGTGGAACAAAAATTTATGCCAGTATGAAGGACTATCAAAAGAGATTTGTTCTTTAGTTTCAGACACTCAGTACAGATGGACTTTGGCAAGCCCTTATCTCTTTACTCAAGGATGTTAGCTGTGCTATAGATTAGTTATCAGGGCAATAGCAAGGCCCTTTCATTTAGAGCAGCCCCAGAGCAGGGAAAGGAAACGCAGAAGCGGCAGGAGCACTTCACAGCTTGGTTTGTTGACAATGCAGCTCCCGGCCTGGGAAAGCAGGGAAGTGACCTATGCAGGCACCTGTGTGTTCAGACTTTCCTGTTGGGTAGCAGGAGTCATTTTAGCAGGATACAGTCCAGTTTCTGACACTGGCAGTTTGACAGTCAAATCCTGGCAGAGATACACCAAGCTCTGGACTGAAGGAAAAGTCGAAGTTAGCGTAATTGCTGCTTGGAGTTTGAAAGAAAACAGATCTTCAAGTCCCATGGTATTTCATTTGCCCTGCAGCAGGCATTTAAAATCCTGGCAGCTGTACAGGTACCAGCTACCTTAAAAGCAAGGAAAGTTGTTTTCTTCCTCCTCCAACTACTTTTCCCCCATATCCAGCTCATTTGATTACTAATGAAAGCCCAATGCATTCATTGCCTGGAAAATAGGGAGGTCCTGATTCTAATCATCTTCTGTCAGACTCTAATTGTGTATTCCTCAAAACATTCTGGAAAACATCCCTTGAGAATGGTTTTGAAAACCAGAGCTTATTTTCCTTTGACCAGTATGCAAAGGCTCATGCCAGCCTCCAAACAACCATTGTCACAGATCCTTAAAGACACTAACAATCCCACTGACAGAAGTAACTCATTGCTCTGTTGACATCTTGTTTCTAAGTTTGGAAACCTCTGTTGTCACCTTGTCAATAAAATCAGGAACATAGTTCAAGAGTTTAGAAAAGCTCATAGTTTCTGAGTGCCAATGTAGATATACCTGACCCATTTTTCACAGTAATGCCAGAGGTGAAGTCACCCAGGCCCACTGTCCATAGAAAAAGGACAGATGAAGGAATGATTCAGGTTTCAATATGTATGGCAAATTCCCTACTTCTACTTTAAACTGACAGTATAGTCACATCCATTGTAGCATTACTCAAGTTACTTTTTTAAAAAGCAGAAGAGTAAAACTTGTTGTCAACTGATTATGACACACTCAGCTTCAAAATTAGTCTGTCATCTCATAAAGAACATTTTTCCATATATTCATCTGTTCCACAAATAAGAGCTTTTACAAAACCTGTTTCCTACAAGGCAAACCACATCACCTTGTGTCTTACTCTGACCAAAAAGTTGCTGTAGCCAAAGCAGCAGCCCAGCTGCTCTGATCACATCATGACTGCAGCTCACACTTCCAGTTAGTAATTTCCCAGTGTCTTTTGTTAGACTAGAAATGTGCTAGCTAAAACTTAGCTCAACAACAAAAATCCCCACAGAAACATCTGCTGTTCTACAGCACTTAAGGTGATGGGGCTCATTTGGGAGCTCAGTTGCTCAGCCTTGACATTTTGCAATTCCTAATGCTGCCCTCATGAGGTTTCCTCGAAAATCATTCCACCAAACAACTTCCCCGGACGACCATGTGCTGCCTTCCCGAAGCTCTACCATACAGTACAAATCAAAACCTCGGAATTAACAAAATGCCATACATTAAATCTTCTTACAGCACCAAACAGCCACAGCACTGTCAGCACTGCTCACAAGCGAGAGCCTGGCGCTGGACCAGTCCCCGCTGCGCACCAGTGACCACAGAAACGACAGCTCTGCTCGCAGCTGACTCAAACATCAAAACAACGTGAAGCTGAGTCCTTGACAACACTGAGTAGTTCCCACACCTGGAAATTGTAACATCCAATTTCTTATCAATTGTCCAGAATAAAATGTATAAAAAAGCCCCCATAAGGCAAACCAGAGAAAGAGCTGTATCTGTTTTCTTTAGATGTTCAAAATACTCTTTCCATCAGTATGAGATAAGCTAAACAGCACATACAAAACAGTTCAAGGAGAAAGGAACAGGTAAGATCCATTTGCAACAACTTGCAAAAAGCAGTGAAACTTTATCTGTGGATAATGCTGGGCCTTACTTAGCAGGCCTAGCAGAAAAAAAAGGGACACTGTGCTACAGCATGGGGATGTCCAAATCTGGTTTTGAACAGTTTCATTTTGGATCCCAACAAATTCCTATCCAGAACAATACGATGTTGGCACTGTAAAGAAGCAAAGTGCCACCGAGTTCAGCTGCAGCTGGAACGTGCCATCCCAAAGTCCTCTGCTAAGAGCAGTATTCCGGTGAGAGAGAAAGAGAGGGGAAGGAAAATGGGTCATTTCCTTTGTTCCTGTCAGGATGCAAGAAGTAAACTGTGAGGAACAGGCAGATTGGGAGCTTCTTAATAGCACAAAGAAAGTACTCCCAAACATGTACAAAGAGTGTGTCCATATAAGGATATCAAACAACATTTTCAAATAATCACTTCAGAGTGACCTTACAGCCATCTTGACATGCAGAACAGCCCTCCTGATTTCTCAAATGAGGCTTCTTTCTTTCCATCACAGGCTATACAACTCAGATTTTTTTGGCAGTACTTTATAGCCACCAACAGGAGAAAAGACTTAAACGGGTTTCCCAGTGCTGGAAATGGTCTCAACAACATCAGTATTCTGAAGTCACTTTTTAGACTTAAAGCAGACAGAAACACCAAGATACATCAGTAAAACATCAGTATTTGTAGTTTCTCACTAAAAGAACTACAATACCCAGGGAAGAAATGTCTGAGTCACATCAATAGTAATAGAAAAAATGCATGATTCTGTGAATCACTGAGTTCTAACAAGTGTGTCAGCCTGTTCTGTGTGCCATGCTTTGTTCCTGGCATGTCCTCACCTCCACTGTGGTAAATCCTCTCCCCTCACTCCCTCTAGAGCAACAATCGCAGGTGATTTCATTTTTCTTCATTAGAAATAGATATCATCAGTTGAAGTAATGTTCTTTTACACACTAACAATTCTGCCTTACTGTTATTCAGGAAAATGATTATATCACTTCCACTAAACACAGAATTTACAGAAAATGTAACAACCCAGCTGTGACCTTTGCAGACAGACCACACTAAGTGTGAGCCACTGCTCTGGCTTGGAACTGATGTTCGGAGCTCATAAGTTCTACAGAATTCCTTCTGGCATTGTACTTGAACCAAAGAAACTGTACAGCGATTACTACTGGGAATGCATCAAAATTTGGAACATGCCTGTGACTCAACAGCACACATATGCACAGCAAAAGGAACAAGAACTAAACAAGAGTTCAACCACCTGTATGAGCAATATTCTTAAAAGGGCAAGAAAAAGCAACACACGAACCTAAAGCTGTAATCCTAAACATTTTCTTTAAAGTTCCATTTCAGCGCTAACATGACTCTAAACAACTTCCTTTTGTACTGTCTTTTCAATGAATAGTCACTTGAAACGCACAAAGGAGGCAGTGATACTGTTCTTGTAAATTATCAGATTTAGTGATGATGTTTCTATGCAAGCAGTTTTGACAGTAATTTCGCCGAGTTACTGTGCCAAAAAGCACTGTTAAATGGACCTATAACTGTGAAAAATAAGGGCTCTTTTAAATTAAACAGACAAACATACTAGCCACGATCACTCATGAGGAATAAAATAGTCAGCTCTGCCTCACACCCACAGAGCTTAAGTAAATGATGTACATAGCGCCAACGCACAGCAAACTGGTAACTTTGTATTTAAATCATTTCCAAGTCATGCCTAAGTCTCACCGTACCATGAAGTCTCTGACCTACATGTGAACAATAATTAAAGACAAAAAAGCAGTAAAGCACGGGGTCGGTCTGTGTACAACCCTGCTGCATCCCCGGCTCCCGGCAGCCGCAATCCCATGGTGGGTGCTGCAATTTTAAAAGCATCCGAGGAATGCCTAGTGGAGACAGCACTTCCTGCTCCATCCTCTCCTCGCCTCTCCTAGCCGGCTACCCCAGCATCGCGGCCTTGTGCACATCTCAAATTAATCCTTGCGTTGCTTTAAAAACCAATCAAGGTGTGTGCGAAACGGCCCGACCGCGACGTCCCGAGGCTCCTGCCCCGGGGCACTTCTCGCGTCCCCACACACCGGCTGCACAAATCCCCCCACAAGCGGCGGCGGGAGGCAGCGCCGAAGCCGTGCCATGCACAGGGAAGCCCCTGGAGCGCTGTGGGGGCGGAGGCGCCGCCGCCGCCGCGGGGGACGCGGCCCCTTCCCGGCGCTCACCTGAGGCCGCGGCCGCTCCCGCCGCCAGGCCGCGATCCGCCGCTCCGCCCCACAGCCCTCCCGCATCCCACCAGCCACCGCGGCAGAGCGCCCGCCTACCCCTGTCCTACTCTATGGTGCGGGGCCCTGCCGGAGACAGCAGCGAGAGGCGGCTCCGGGAGCAGCGAGAGGAGGGACAGAGCGTCCCCAGCCCGCCCCGCTGGGCGCGGCCATGACTGCCCGAGCGCCCGGGACACCACCAAACCGTGTTCTAATGTGCCACATCTACACGGAATGGTTTGGTTTCTGTTTTCTACCCAAACGTCGTTGAGTTTTGGGATTGCCCCACTTACAGCGGGTTTTATCGATACTCCTTATTGGAAAACCTGGCTGGTGTGATAACCGGGGGGAAATCGAGCTTAAATTTTGTGCTGTTTGACTGTAGTGCAGTATGTAACACCAGCCTAGTTGTTTAGCAGATTCACACATGAAGCAAATTCCTCTCCCGAACATTGTACAAAAAATGCAAGGAACTCGTTTTACTTACTCTGTTCTCTCCCCTGACGGCTTGCCCTCTGGTTCTGTGAGGGTCTTGGGCGCTGTCACCGCTGAAGGGCCGAGTGGGATTCTCGTCTGCAAGGTCTCGGAGGTATCAGGGACCCCAGCAGGCAAACGTGGAGTGTAAATGATACCTACAGTAAAATTACAGAAACAGATCACTTTTATCATAGGGAAACAGTGTTACATAGTCCAAACTCTGAATGCAACACAGTCAAAACTAAAATGCATATTAGCAGAAATACCAGAAAGGCTTTTTCCAACCTTCCAGCTGCAAGAACTGTGTTCAGGAAAATTCCTAGACATCCATCCACACATTTTGACAGAGTAGCTTGTAGGTATGACATAGCAGCAAATATTTTGACTTAAAATTCTAAATACCAAGAAACATTTCTGTTATGTATTCCCATCCATTATGCAAACAGGGTTGCAGCTCACAACAGGAAAATGTGGAAGTAAAACAAATGCTGCTGAAGGCAGACTGAGCATCAAAGCATCAATGGGGTCTGAGTAAGAACAAGATGAAAGCCAGTGAAAGCACAAGCAAGCTCCATTTCCTAGGAAAAAATGTAATGTTATAACTCAGAGTTCTGATACATACTTCCTTCCTGGAGGAGTTAAAAGATGGCTTTTCAGTCTTCCTTGGAAATTAAGGTTTTATTTTAAATTATTCCATGGATTTCCATATAGGTGTTTTATATTATCACCAGAGGAACAACTGTGGCAGTTTTTCTTTCTCTAAATTAGAACACTGTGATGGACACAAGATTTTGCACACATGCACTGCTATTATAAAGAACTGCCCAGTATTTGAAGAAATTATAAGAATTTGGCACAGACAATGCCGAACTGCAGACTGCCATCTGCACAGACAGGTGGAAGTTAGTGCTTTCTCAAGACTGTCACTCCTTTCCTTTAGCAGGATTTAGTGCAAGGGGTGAAAGATTCTCCAGAAATTTCAAATGCTTCACTATTGAGGCATACCAATAATTTTCCCAAGTCATGGCTGAATCAGATCGCTGACCAATTGTAACACAAAATGTTCAGGGAAGCCATAATCCTTCCAAAGAAGTCCCATTAGGCCAGAAAGTGATGTAAGGAAGGGCACCTGGGGTTAGAGCAGAAGTCAGTCCTAGCCAGTGCCCTGCCCCTGCAGTGCCCAGGAGCAGATGCTTAGGAAAAGATAAAGTAGCACCGTGCCTGTGTATCCTCCCAGCTTCCGGCAATCTGCAGCTCAGCAGCTTCCTGAGCCAGAAGTTTTATCTTGATAGTTCGTTCTTCCATGAATTTTTCTTCTTGCTTTTTGAACCTATCCCAGCTTCTGGCATTAAAGAGCATCCTGTGACAATGAGTGTTACAGTGCATTAGTCACTTGATGAAAATGTACTTTTATTACTTTTGAAACCTATTATGTGACTTGTTATGAAACTGCAGTTCACAGAAATGCCAGGTGGCAGAACTGGAACTCTTTGGGGTGTGTGACTTAGAAATGCTGCACTGCAGACATCTACAGCAAATGCAACCCCCCCCCAAACACATGCTGCATGTTTGTTATTTCTCATACCAATATTAGCAGAGGTGCAAACAGAAGAAGTGCTTGTACTGAAGAACACTGGTTAAATAGTCTATAAATACTCATGCTATGAACAACAGTCTGACTGTGAATCACTCATTCCCAGAATTATTATTTTTGAAAGAATTTTGTTTCATTTTTCCCTTGGAAGTTTCAATGCTTTTTCTTATAGTTCCTGATACATTAGGGTTTACAATATCAAAAGCACAAAAGTCCTTCCTTGAATTCAAATCTCAGCTTTGTGTAGTCACATCTTAGTAAGTCAGAAATACCTCATACATTCAGCATAATGTGTCTTTTGTTCCAGTTCTTACCACAGAAAATGGTGATACTGATTTTAATGAAATAAATACAGCCATAAACTGAAACCTAAATTGAATTTTAATAGATAAACCAACTCCACATTCCTTGGCATTACTTTCCTTAAGATATTCTGCTTAAAACTCTTTTTTTTTTTTTCAGTTGTGAGATCCCTTGATTTTCTTTCAGTGCAGTCTTTTCCTCACTTTTCCTAGGTTTAAGCTTGAAATTCTGTGTGATTGCTGTAATAGCTGCACTATAAAAGCAATTCATGGAGATATTGACTCACTACTGTAAGACACTGAGCATCTGGAACCCTCCCAGTCCTTTCTGGAGATAAAATTGCCCAAGTGCCAATTAAACAACTTAATCATATACATAAATCCTTTTCCATAAGATTTAGTTTGTGTTAGATTCAAAATATTTGTGTATGCTTTTCCAAGTTACAGTATGTGGCTCCAGGTCCAAACCTTTTAGAAATAAATCTGCTGCACACTGTGGGTGACATCTGCTTTTAAAGGATTACCAGAGAAAAAAGTGCTTTGAATATAACTAGTGGGAATGTCAGACAAAGTAGTTTAGATATTCCCTGGGTTAATTTGTAGGAATTTGGGTGTGCTGAAAGACAGAAATTTAAGGGTGAAGTTCCCACTGATTTGATCAAAATACTCTTTTGTGTAGGGCTTTATCTGTGGGATCACCAATGGGAGAACCATTCTAACATCTGAAATGTCCTCATTTTTACAGAGATGCTGCATCAGGAATCGGAGCTGTCAGGTCCATGGAAAGCTGGTTTCACTGATGAGCACTTTGGAGACCTGCAGCTATGAACAGGGCAGGATATGAACAGGAAGCCACTATCTGTGCAGGCACCAGGATTTACTGACACAAGCTGCTTTACAAGAAAATCTGCAACAGATAAGTATTTTCCCTTGCTGCAAAAAACGCCCAAGCCTCATGTTCAGTGACACTCTCCAGGAAATGAAGATTGTATTTGATTTATAGTAGTCTCAGAGGAACAGAAGTGTTTCCTTTGCATTTACAAGCACATACAAGCCCTCCTTTTCAAGATGCTACTTATGGCAATGAAGAAGCAATAAGAAAAG